TCAACCCTGACTTCCAGGTAAGAGTGAAATTATTTTATATACTCTGTGGTTATAGGAGCCCATCAATACAGCAACATTAGAAAATCAAACCATTTTATTCTGGGTAAATACTTCACAGCTAAACATAAAACCAACAACTATTAAAATAACTGTGAAAGACATAGGATTGTATGTTTTAGTAAAATTAAGTTTTAACATATTTCATTGTGGGGCAGCACGGTGGCGCAACTGGTAGAGCTGCTGCCTCTCAGCGAACAGGTCCCTGGTTCAAACCCCGGTCCAGGTGCCTTCTGGGTGGAGTTTGCATGTTCTCTCCGTGCATGCGTGGGTTTTCTCCGAGTACTCCGGTTTCCTCCCACAGACCAAAAACATGCATGTTAGGCTGATTGGTAACTCTAAATTGTCCCTAGGTGTGAGTGAGAGAGTGAATGGTTGTTTGTCTCGTTTGTCTCTCTGTGTCCCTGTGATGGACTTGCGACCCATCCAGGGTGTACCCCGCCCCTCGCACAGTGATTGCTGGACATGGGCACCAGCGACCCCCGTGACCCAAAATGGAATAAACGGGTAAAGATAATGGATGGGATGGATGGATATTTCATTGTAGTAAAAGATTTTATTACTAGTTACTAACTTATTCCATTTGAAATTTCTGCAGCACTACACATGGAGTGGTGAGAACTCCTACTTTGTGAGCGGCAACTGGGACTCTCTGCAGATTGGTGGAGGAGGGTAAGTTACGTTCCTGTTGATTAAACATAATGAAAACAAATATTTTTCTAAAACAATTAAAACCATGATGAATAAATGGTTGCTTTATAAGATACCTAGTAGATACTTGAGTAGTACAAGTTTATTTTACTTAACTAAAATACTGTATGTATTCCATTTTCCATCAATCCATCCATTATCTTCTGCTTATTCAGAAATCAGATCGAGGGGGTAGCAGCTTGACCAGGGAGGCTCAGACATCTCGTTCCACAGCCACCTCTTCCAGCTCTTCTGGGAGGATTCCAAGGTGTTCCCAGGCCAACTGAGAAACATAGTCTCTCCAGCATGTCCTGGGTCTTCCCCGGTGTCTTCTCCCAGTTGGACATGCCCGAAGCACCTCCATAGGGAGGCGTCCAGTGGGCACCCTTGCCAGATGCCCGAACCACCTCAACTGGCTCCTCTTGACGTGGAGGAGTAGCAGTTCTACAATGAGTCTCTCCTGGATAACTGAACTTCTCACCCTATCTCTAAGGGAGAGTCCAGCTACCCTGCGGAGGAAACATTTCAACCGCCTGTATCCACAATCTCATTCTTTCGGTCACTACCCAGAGCTCATGACCATAGGTGAGGGTAGGAATGTAGACTGACCAGTAAACAGAGAGCTTTTCCTTACAGCTCAGCCCTCTCTTCAACACAACAGACCGGTACAAAGTCTGCAATACTGCAGATGCTGCACCGATATGTCTGTCAATCTCATGCTCCATTCTTCCCTCACTCATGAACAAAACCCCAAGATACTTGAACTCCTCCACTTGAGGCAGAACCTCACCATTGACCCGAAAAGAGCAATCCACCCTTTTCTGGTTGAGGACCATGGCCTCAGGTTTGGAGATGCTGATTCTCATTCCAACTGTTTCACACTCGGCTGTGAGCCGCTCCAGTGAAAGCTGAAGATCACGGCATGATGACACCCACAGGACCACCAAACCGGAAACCCTTCGCCCACTGACTGCACCAAGAAATTATGTCCATAAAAGTTATGAACAGAATTGGTGACAATGGGCAGCCCTGCAGAGTCCAACTCCCACCGTGAAGGGGTCCGACTTGCTATCGGCAATGCGAACCAAACTCTCACACCACTTTCATAGGTACTGAACAGCCCGTAACAACGGGCCCCCAATCCCATACTCATGGAGCACCAACACAGTGTACCTCGAGGAACACAGTTGAATGCCTTCTCCATGTCCACAAAACACATGTAGACAGAATGGGTAAACTCCAATGACCCCTGGAGGACCCTAGTCAGGGTAAAGAGCTGATCCAGTGTTCCACGGCCAAGACGTAACCCACATTGTTCCTCTTGGATCTGAGGTTCGACCAACGATCGGACTCGCTTCTTCAGTACGCCTGAATAGACCTTGCCAGGGAGACTAAGGATAGTGATGCACCTATAGTTGGAGCACACCCTCTGGTACCCCTTTTTGAAGAGGGGAACCACCACCCCAGTCTGCCAATCCAGTGGCACTTCCCCCAATGTCCACGACGTTGCAAAGGCATGTCAACCAAGACAGCCCCACAACATCCAGAGCTTTAAAGAAATCAGGGTGAATCTCATCCACTCCCAGAGCCCTGCCACCTCAGAGCTTTTTAATTACCTCTGCGACCTTAGCCACAGTTATGGATGGATCACCCCCAAAGTCCCCTGACTCAGCTTCATCCATGGAAGATGTGCTGGTGGGATTGAGAAGGTCTGAGAAGTACTCCTTCCACTTCCTGACAACATCACTGGTTGAGGTCAACAGCACCCCACCTTCACTGAACACAGTGTAAGTAAAGTGCTGCTTTCCCCTCCTTAGCTGGCTGATGGTTTGCCAGAATCTCCTTGGAGCTGACCGAGAGTCTCTATCCAAGAACTCACTGAACTCCTCTCACATCCGAGCTTTTGCCTCAGCAACAGCCCATGACTGTGGCCCAATTGGCCCTCCGGTACTCCTCAGCTGCTTCCAGAGTCCCACTGGCCAACAAGGCCCGATAGGACTCCTTCTTCAGCTTGACAGCTTCTTTAACTTGGGGTGTCCACCATATAGTTTGTGGATGGCCACCGCTAGAAGCACTGACAACCTTGCAGCCACAGCTCAAAGCAGTTACCTCAACAAGCAAGGTGTAGAACATGGCCCACTTGGACTCAATGTCCCCCACTGCTGGGATGCGGTTAAAGCTTTCCAAGAGGTGTGAATTGAAGATCTCTCTGATGGGTTCTTCTGCAAGGCGTTCCCAGCAGACCCTCACTACACATTTGGGTCTACAGAGTCTGTCTTGCATCTTACCCCGCCATCTGATCCAACTCACTACCAGGTGGTGATCAGTTGACAGCTCAGCTCCTCTCTTCACCTGAGTGTCCAAAACAAACAGCCTCAAATCAGATGACATGACTATGAAGTCAATCAAAGATCTATGACCTAGGACATCCTGGTCCCAAGTGCACTTATAGACAACTTTATTTTTGAACATGGTGTTTGTGATGGACAAACTATGACTAATTCCTTATTTATTTCCTGTCCATAAAAATCCTATGTATCACCTTTTATTTTTCAGTAATAAACAATTGTTTATTCTTGTTTTGCAGAGATGGCTTTGCATTGTGGTTGGATGCTGATTTGTACCATGGAGCCAGTTTTTCCTGCCCTACTTTCCATAATGTACCTCTTTCCACACATGAAGACTTCATTGTACAAGATGTTGAAGTGTGGACTGTCCAGTACTGAATGAGGACACTGAAGCTGTCCTTCATGGAGTCACTAAGCTTCCTTCCATCCATCCATTATCTTCCTGCTAGTTCCAGAGTCAGGTCTCGAGGGCAGCAGTTGGATCAAGGAGGTCCAGATATCTCTTTCCACAGCAAGCTCTTCTTGGAGGACCACAACGTGTTCCCATAGGCCAGCCGAGATACATAGTCTCTCCAGTGTGTCCTGGGTCTTCTCCAGGGTCTCGTTCTAGACAGACATGCCCAGAGCACCTTCCTGGGTAGGCGTCCATGGGGCGTCCTTACCAGATTCCTTAACCACCTCAAGTGTTTTTTCTCCATGTTGAGGAGCAGTGGTTCTACTCTGAGTCTCTCCTGGAAAATTGAACTTCTCACACTGTCTCTAAGGGAGAGTCCAAGTTCAACTATCCTGCTGATAAAACTCTTAAGGTCTCGTTCTTTTGCTCACTACCCAATGTTTGTGACCATAGTTGAGAGTTGGAACAGGGAACTAAACTTAAGAGCTATTAGCAGTTTAGACTTTGTGTTATCCTGACGGAGTGTTCTCTGTCATGTCTGCACCTGCAGATTAGTCCACGTACAGTACCAAGCCTTTTGGACTGGTTCTCAGACTGAGATTTATGCTTGGTTGAGCTGTGACTGTTAAAGAAACGTAGCTACAAGAAATCCTGTTTTTCAGGTTCCTGCTGCTCTGAACTACTGGATATATTTGAGCTGCTTGTGTCGTTCTTTGATTTTGAAGAGAATTATGACACAAAGTTCACTGTAAAAGTGTTGGATGAAGCATGCAGAAACTGTAAGCACATCCCAGGAGTAAACATTTTGTTTGAATGCATTAACTGTTGAACAGGCAGACAGTCTTAGTTAAACTATGCTTATGTTTGTTTGTTTAAGACTGCCTTTGTTCTCAGGTTAAATTAACTATTGTTGGTATTGACACTGTAAGATGAGGGGACTCTTCTGTAAGAAGTTTGTTTTGGATCCTAACTCCAGTTGGAAACTACAGCAGGAAGTGAAGACCAAATCAGTCGGGAGACAGACAGGAATCAGGAGAATGGAAGCAGAGCTGCACCACAGTCAGCTTTCTGTTAAATGAGTGATGCCTGGTGTTGAAGGAGGAAGTGAACACAGCCGTTAACCGTCTGCTCCCTTTGTGTGTAAATATTCCTGTGAGCCTGTATGATTTATTCAGAATATATGTATATGTTAATAATTTTTCATTTTGTATTCCCTAAATACCATAATATTTTAATTTTTTTAAAGACTGAAACAAATGAGAAAATCAACTGTGTGTCTGGTTTTCTTGTGAGAGAGCATACATTTTCCTTCCTTCATTCCTTCCATAGATAACTTTTACTAACTGGCTTTTGTATAACATATGAATGTTTCTGTTCAGTGCCATTAGACAACTTCTGTTGTGATTTGGTGCTAGATAAATAAACTGCATTTAATTGAATTAAATTGGAGTATTTTGGTTTCTCCTGGTGATGCCATTATTCAAGTTTTAAAACCAAATTTTAAAATAGTATTGAAAACAATAAAATTATTATTATAATTTTTAATTGATATTCACCAGATTTAAAAAAATGTTGTAAAATAACATATTTAACACAAATTTCCATTCGTGATGCACAAGATTTAAAATTTAAAATGCCTGTATTGCTGATATATATATTATGTAAAGCATTTATCTTTTTTTTATTTAAACCTTTATTTTACCTGGAAAGAAATCCATTGAGATTATTAATGGTAATCTATTTTTACAAGGATGCCCTGGGGAACATGGAAATAAGTCTGAATATTTTGGGTTCCATCCATCCATCATCCATTACCTTTATCTGCTTCTTTCTCTATGGGTCACGGGCGTCACTGGCGTCCATATCCAGCAGTCAGTGTGCGAGAGGCGGGGGACACCCTGGACAGATTGCAAGTCTATCACAGAGCAGGGCCAGAGTGGAACTAATTTCAGCCCCGGAGTTTCAGCCTCAGACTGGCCCACTTTAGATCACAACCTATTTATTATTAAAATCATGTAATTATAGCCTCACATTAGGGGCAATTTTAGAATCTGCCATTTTAGTAGTGCTTAGCTCCCAGTGTTGACAACGGCTCTTGGCTTGAACACCGTGGTAGTCATTGGTGTCACATTCATAATGTGGGGGACACACTGGTAGGGGGGTCTGGGGGTCCTCCCCCAAAAAATTTTGAATAATTTAGATGCCAAGTTTTAGGGGTAAAAATCACTAGCCAATAGGAA